TAAGAAACACGAGTTTCTTCCGTGCTGTGTAGCGGAGACGGAGGATTTGGCAAGACATTGTGCACCGTCGCGATTGACGCATTCCGTTCAGCCACTCGCACGTAGTTGAGTTTTATCAGACCGAGCATGATGAAAAAAATGTTGTTCAGTCCGTAGTTGGTGTTCTGGTTGCTCGTGTATTGGATCACGAGTCGCGGGGTGTGAATAAAAAACACGCTCAACAGGCAGATAAACTTTCGCGTAATGTACACGTCGTTGTGTTCCAAAACGCGGTACTTGCTCGATTGTCGCCAACTAGGCATAGCTAAGCTGTACAACGAGATAGACGCAAGATGCAAATAGCCAACCACCACTTCCGAGTCGCCGCCGACTGTTCCTGAATTGAGTCGGACCACAGTCGAGATAACTTCCAGAAAGTCAAAACAGAAGGATAGCAGCAAGTCGATCGCTATGAAGCGTCCGGTGCTCGCAGCCGGGTTTTTCAGTTTTTTGGGGTTGGAAAACAGCAGCAGTCCGTAGATGGGGCAAGTTAGTAGCATAGAGCAGTAAAACGCAGCGGTGTCGAACAGGTTGCTCAGGTTGCGGTATGTTCCCGATCTCGTTACCATCAAATACAGTTTCGCTACCAGCAGCGCTGAGTACACAAACCACTGCGTCTGCAGGTTCATTTTCGGATGCAAGTACAGCAGATAAATGCCACACAGCATGTCGAATATCGCGAAGGCCAGGATCCAACGCGAACTCAGCATCATCATGAGCATCGCGTTCAGACATATGATTTGCAGCACGATCAGACAGTAAGCGAGGTAGCGCATGGGTGGTTACAGCTCCGCAAGGCTCGCTTCGGCCGGACGCGACCGAAGGGCCGAGCGTTATAAATTTGATATAGCGAATATTTGGAAGTTTCTCGATGCCGACGGCGCGCCGCTGCGCCTCGCCGTTTGCGCATCGTGTGCGAATCGAAGAAAACTTAGCACGGAAAAGTTCAGTGGAGTGCGCAAACGACAAATGCGGAACCTTGCTGGAGCGTGCTTGTTGCTAGGTACTTGCTGCTGTCGCGCAATCAGCGAACAAACGCTGGATCTGACCAAGGTTTTTTTCGGTACGCAGGAATCGTGCAACGTGTCGATCGAAGAGCTAGTACAGCAGGTTCTGCAGCTGTCTAGCGACTACAAACTTAGCAATGCGAAAGAACAACTCAAAAACTTCTTGTTCGACAAACTCATGAAGAGAAGCACGGAGCACCGCAACCTCGCAGAGGGGCCGTCGCCGCTGGGCAACGTTTTGTCAGAGCTGCTAGGCTACTTTACAAAGGACGACTTCATTGTTAAATCCGTTGTTCGTAGCATATTTACCAAACCGAAGCACACAGAGGAAGAGCCGGAACGCGATGGACTGCTACCAAATGTGAGCTTTGCACTCGACGACCTGAAGCTGCGTTCGCTGCTAGAATCGCAGTACTTCAACGACATTATCGACTCCACGATCCAAAATCCGAGCGTGTCTTTCGGCAGCGCAATCAAAATTACGGCCACGTCGCCTATGATCAATGTCATAGACAATGTCTGCTTCATGAACACCGCCACCACGTCGCATTCTTGCGCAGTGCTAGACCTCGTGCGGCACTTCATGCGGTGCGCCGCGCCGAGCTCGCTGCAATGCAAACCAACTGTTTACGAAACTGAGCATAACTTGTTCGACATGTGGGCCAACTTGCGACTGCCCGAAGAGCTAAACTTGTCCAAAAAGTCCGAGGCTATCATAACGCGCACCGACGCCAGGCTGTTCCGCGCTTGCCGCATGTGGTCTAGCTACGTGCACAACGCACATCCGTGCGAAAGCGCTATTAGCGACGTTACGGAGCTCGACCTGCTGCCGAACTATGAACCGCTCGCAGTGTTCAACATTAAACACTCGACTCCCGGAAGCAGCCGCGACCCGCCTTCCGAAACGCATGTCGCTCAAGTCGTCCCGCTCACGCTGATACTCCGCAGCAAAACCAACAAGTGTCAGTTCGTTGCCGTCACAAGAGGTACTACTACGCGCTACGAATGGGACATTGATTTTTACACCGCCATGGACAGGCTCGAAGGGCTGGATGGCAAGATCCACTTCGGCTACGGGCTGCTTGCCCGCCACCTGCAGGAATTCATTTCACGCATTTTGCTCAACGAAACGATGGAGCACGTCGATGTGACCGACTCAAAGTCGGGCAACTCTTACCGCGTGCCGTCGTCTTCCTGCAACAAGCTCGAACTTGTGTTGACGGGTCACTCGCTTGGCGCGAGCGTCTCGAAGGTGGCAGCGCTGCTGCTTTCGCAACTGCACAACGCCTTGACGGTGCACGTGGTGACGTTTGCGACGCCAAACGTATTCGACATCAACGCGGCGCAGCAGTACTCAAACCAGTTAAACATTGTGACACGACGCGCCTATTCGCACGAGTTTGACGTGGTGCCCAAATTCCCGTGCATCAGCTCGCGCGGCACGCCGCGCTGTCCGCTCGGACACGGAGCCAAGCTGGACAAGCAGAAGCACGGCGATGCGGAAGTCCGCGATTTTTACTTCAAAGAGTCGAGCACCCAAGAGCGCCTAATTTACGCCAGCGCTCTGCAGATGTACAACGCTGGCATGAGCGTAGATTCTTTCGGACAGTTGGTGTACGACTTGCGGAACAAAGTGCTCGATGATGCTTTGTTCAAGATCCCAACGCCTTTGCAGTTCAGCAAATCGCACAGCTGTTCCTACGAATGCTACTTCAGCGCTAAGGCAAGCTCGACGCGCGAGATCTGCGATCGCTGTGCAGCCTAGCCGCTAAATGATTGCGATCGAATATAATATTTATCGAGCGAAAACATGGTGTCTGTCGTCCGCAAAGATCATGTCTAGACAGTCCGAGCGTACTGGGAGAGGTTTGCGAATGCAGCGCAAAGCTACCGCACCGGCGCTCGCGCTCCTGCGCAGTGGTGTAGTCAAAGTTCTGAACTTTGTGCTTTTGACCCAGATCCAGAAGCACCTGAGTCTCGCACTGCTCGGCGTCTACAACATTGACTTGTCGGTCCTCTGCACTTCGCTCGACCTTGTGCATAACGAATTCATGCGCAAAGAACTTCTCAACCGCGCAGCAACGCAGGGCGTGAGCAGACGCGATTTTTACAAACTGTACGCAGCTTGCTGCGCCACTTTATTTATCGTGGCAGCGCTTCTGTACTGCAGCAACTTCGTGAGCATCGCGCCATCGGCGCAGAAGTTGCAGCTTTTCAGCTCTTACGTCGTCATGCAAATCCTGACGTGTTACTCCGAGCGCTACATTTTGCAGGCCGCCGCGGCCAACTTCATGTCTGAGACAATTTTGGTCGAAAACCTGTCGTACTTCCTGAAAAACGCGCTGATCGCGTTCACCGTAATCAAGAACGAGTCGCTGCTGCTTCGAGCGCTTCCAGTAGTCAACGTCGGGCAGGCGCTGCTTCTGCACTGCGCGAAACACGCGCTCTGCAAGCACTTCAGCGGCTGCTGCACGTATGGACGGCCGGCGCAGAGCGGCACGCACTTGGGCGCTCTAGACATAATTAGCACGTTTTACCGCTACTGCGTATCGCTGACACTCTCCGAACTACCGCGGCTGTACTTGTTGTCGCAGTTCTCGAACCTCGTGAAGGGTCGGCTGAGCATGGCGCTGTACTTCACAATGATGCCATTCCGCCTGTTCCTGAAAGAAAACGTGGAATTAACGCAGACCGTGCTGCCCGTCGACGCGCAGGGCGTGGTGCTGCCGCTGCCACTGTCGAAGGCGTTCAAGACGCGGCTGCGCATCCAAGCGTTGGTGCTCGCAGCGTTCTCTTACTTGGTGACGGCGCGCTACGGGCTGTTCTTCTTGATCAACTTGCGCGCGCCGGCGCGCGCGGAGCTACGAAACCTGCAGTACGTGGCGACGCACCAGTACTTGCTGGGCATCAACAGTTTCGTAGAGCCGTTCTTCTCCTCCGCGCTCAACAAGCGCCGCTACTTTGCAAAGACCACTACTGCGCTGCTGTTCATCGCTGCGCTGACCGGCGGTGCCTACTGGTTCCTGCAGAGCGTGGGTGACGCGGAGCGCGACACTTATAGCCGCGTGTACTTCTACGTGGTCATTGCGTACGAGCTGCTAGTGTACGTGACGGGCTGCGTGCTCTATCCCGCGGCATCGCCCGTTTACGCAGCGCAACTGCAGTTCGCGTTGGTCACGTTTCTCAGTTTGCGCGCGTACCGCGTGCTACGCGCGCGCCTCGGCCTCGCCTTGTACGAATTTCTGCTGCAGCTGCAGTGCGCGCGGCTCGGCGTGCGGGGCGACGCGGGGTTGCTGCTGATCGGGGTGCTGAACTTCGCCATCTGGGCGGTTTTGTTTCTCGCGGTGTACGGCGTTTTCGCAGCCGCGAAAATAGGCGGTAAATTTCTGCGAACCGAAAAAGCTAAAAATAATTGAAAGCGATGGGCGCGCAGCACCGGAGCAACGCCCGCGGCTTTGCGCTGTATACCTGCGCGTTCTGCTACGAGGAGCCGTTCAAGATCCTATTCGATGCCGCGCTGCCGCAACTGGCTGCGGACCGTGGGCTAGACTTGTTGAATCTGCTGCGCAAGTTTTTTGGGACCGCGAAACTGCGGTTTTACATGACGGAATGCACAGCCGCGCTGCTTGCGGGGAAGGCGGGCGCAGCGCGTTGCGTGCCTGCAGTGGAGACACTACAATGCACGCACAGCAAGGCGGAGAAGTGCTGCGAACAGCGGTGCCTGAAGTTCACCGCAAACAAGGGGAACCCCCGGCAGCTTATATTTTTTATTGCCAACAATTACGTGATTAACGTGCTAAAAAAACTAAAGCTGGTTCCGATTCTTGCACTGACGAACAACAAGTTGAAGCTCTTGCCGCACTCGTCCGGTACGCTAAACAAAAAAGCGCGCTTAGAGCGGCGCAAGCTGGAAACGTCCGCAGAAGACGAGTTGCGCGCAGACGCGCCGAGTAAATGACTCCCGCAGCGCACAAAGCACACTGGGTCGCGACGGTAGCGCGCTGGTTGCAGCAGCCGCAGCCTACGGGGCACGTGACGCTCGGCGCGTTCGCGGTGCCGCGATTCGTCTTCGACCGACTGTACGACTACCAGGCGGCGGGCGTAGAGTGGCTGCTGAGCAACTTCGCGGCCGGCGTGAACTGCTTGCTAGCGGACGAAATGGGGCTCGGCAAGACGGTGCAAATGCTCGCGTTAGTCTCTGCACACTTCGAAACCGTCGTCGGGCATAAGAACGTGCTGCGCGCAGGCGACCGGCTCGCAGCGCTGCGCGCGGGCGAGCACCGCCTCGACGCGTTCTACGACACGCTGGTAGCGGCGTACGATGCGAAAGTGCTCGTGCTCGCGCCTGTCACGCTGCTCGAGCAAATCAAGGGCGAGTTCGAGGCGTTCAACCCCTTTCTGCCGCTCTTCTGCCACTACAGCCATACCGTGAAGAACTCGTTCCGTGCGCAAAACGGCATACACTTCATGTGCTACGAGTGCTTCCGTGCGAACCACGCCACTGTTGCGCGCACGCAGTTCGAACTGCTCGTGCTCGACGAGGCGCACGTGATCCGCAATTGCAACAGCCGCACGACGTTGCTGGTGAAGTCGGTGCGGGCGCAGTTCAAGCTCGCGATGACTGGCACGCCTGTGCAGAACTGTCTCGCGGAGCTCTGGAGCATCGTCGACTTCCTGAGGCCCGGGCTGCTCGGGACGCTGCCCGTTTTTGCAAAGACCTTCGTGCAGCCAATTGAGGCGGGGCTGCGCCAAAGCGTCGACGAGCTGAAGGCGCGCGACTGCGCGCGACGGCTCAAGTTGCTCCGCAACATCATCTTCCCGCACATTCTGCGGCGCACGCGCAAAGACGTCAACGTGCTGCGCGAACTCGCCTGCATCGACCTCGCCGTGACCTGCGACATCACGCCACTACAGTACAAGCTCTACGAGCAGCACCTAAAGCTGCACGGCGCGCACCTGCGTAACTGCCTAAACGGCCAGGCGCGCAGCGCCGCGGAGCAGCGCAAGGGCGACGTGCTGCGCCACTTCAACATTCTAAGCATCATTTCGAACCACCCGGACATTTTGCTGCACAGCGCGGACCCCGTCTGTCTGCAGGGTGTCGCGCGCAGCTTCGCCTACGGTCACTTCAGTCGCAGCGGCAAACTGCGGACGTGTCTGCAGGTGTTGCAGCTGCTGGTCCGCGAACGGCGCAAAGTGATTGTGTTCTCGCAGCGCATTAGCGTGCTCGACATCCTGGCACGCTACATGCCGCAGTTCGGCGCGTTTCTGCGGCTCGACGGCAGCATTGCCTCATGCGCGGAACGCAACTCCATCATCGAGCGCTTCAACAGCGACCCGCAGGTCGTCGTGATGCTGCTCAGCACGCGCGTCGGCGGCGTCGGCCTCAACCTCACCGCCGCCAGCGCTGTAGTCATTTTTGACCTCGATTGGAACCCGGCGAACGACTCGCAGGCGCTCAGCCGCTGCTTCCGCTTCGGGCAAACGCGCGACATTTGCCTGGTCCGGCTGCTCAGCGACACGCCTTTCGAGAAATATTTGCACACCACGCAGAAGTTCAAAATCGGACTCTCTGAATCGCTGCTCGGCGAACAAGATACCGCGCTGGAGCAGCGCGCTGCGAAGGTACTGCTCAGCTATCCCAACCCGCCCGCGGGACTCGCCGCCGCGCAGCAGGACGCTCAGCTGCTAGCGGGTTTTTTCAAAGCGCTCGTCTGGAAGTTCCGCGGCTGCCGCAGCGCACCGCCAGTCGCCGCGTGGCTGCACAGCTCGGCGCAATGCCTCGAGCTGCCGTCCCTGCCGCAGACTGCAGTCTGCGGCGCCGCCGCCGACAGCGGCGATAGTGAGCGCGCCGCGAAACGCGCGAAGCGCGACCTATCCGTTACGCAGCCTACGCTCGCGGCTGCCGAGCTCGGCGAGGTGCGCGCGCGTGAGCCGGACGACTTTCTGCACCGCCTGATGGCGCTGCCCAATGTGCGCGTGGAGCTAACGCCCGCACCGCAAAGCGTCGTCGGCGACGAGAAACGCTCCGGACTGAGCAAGACGCTCGGCCAGCTCATCGTGAGCGGTAAGCTGACGTTGCGGCAGCACCGCTCGCTCGCCTCGGCGTTTGGACAGAAGGCGCAGAAAGCCGTGCGCCACGCGAGTTTCGCGGACTTCCTCGAATGCCAAAAGAGCTCAGCCTCTTGGCAGCCTAACGTGCCCACTTGGACGGGCAGCAAGGGGATTGCTGGAAAGCCCGAGCGAGTGCGCGCGCAGAGCGCGTTGCAGCTGGAAGCGCAAACTCTCTTCGCGGACGTCATCGCAGAACTCGGGCTGTGCAGCGAGCCGCTGCGCTTGCTTTTCGAGCAACTCGTAAAAGCGCTCGCCAGCGCACCCGAGCCGTTGCTTTCGACCGACTTGATCGATCGGTTCGCCAGCGAGTTGCGCGAAGCAGAAACTGCGAAGCAGTTCAAAGTAATGCTGAACCGGCTCTGCGACAAGGTCGGCGGCCCCAGCTCTCTGCGCTGGGCGCTCAAGCCGACGTTTGCGAAACGGCTCACGTCGCTCGCGGCTTGAACGCGAGGACGCTGAACTGCGCGTTCGCGACCGCTTCGCAGTCGTGCAGCAACGCGCTCCGGCGGACGCACTCGACGCAGGTCTGCAGCGCTTTTTGCGCGGCCTCGGGGCTTGTGTCAATGGCTTTCGCGACATGCGCAGCGTCGCAGCAGCTCCACACCGACTCGTGACTCGCCATGACAACAAGTTGGTTCGCGGACAGCGCGTCGCGGTAGTTCACGACGTACATGAGCCGCTTCGCGCCTGAACGGCCGTCATAGCCCCACTCCTGCGCGCTCGCCGCTGTTTTCGCAGCCAGCGACTGTCGCAGCTGCAGCGTAATGTTCGCAGCGGCGTAGCGCCCTTCGGACTCCTTGGCTGCGCGAAACACGGGCAAGACGGAAGTGCCGATGAGACTTAGCGCGTTCGCGACGCAGAGGCCGACGAAAAACCATACTTTCGCGCAACTTTCCTTGCTCCACAACGCCGTATGCTTGTTTCGAATTTCCTGCAGAATGCGCACGACTTCGAGCTGCAGCCGCTTGCTGCACTGCTCGAGTTTGTAGTCGAAGTTCTCGAACCGGCTGCACGTGAGCGTCAAGAAGCTGTTCACAAAGTCATCTTCAATGTCTTCAACGACGCCGTCTGTGTCTTCTGCAAAGCAAATTAGCCAAATATGCACGTCGTACAGCGGGTTGCAGTAAACGCAGAACTGACTCGAACCGACCTGTTTTCGGTCCGCGCTCAGGCACGCTGCGTTGTTCCTGGCGAAAACGCAGCTGTTTTCGATGACCTGCTTAATCGCGTCAGATGAGTAAGCCACGCGGTACGCTGCGCGCTGCGGCGCCTTTGATGAGCGCCGCAAAATCATGTAGCCCGCAGACGACGCGAGCAGCAGTGTGGCGTTGCGCGCAGACAGTAGCAGACGTCTGTGTTCGCGCCCTGTGCGCAACTTGTCGCCCAAAACGCCTTTGGCATCTGCGTAAACTCCATTTTCAAACTCGTTTTCGTCGAAAATCACGCAGCTTTCCGGCGCCAGCAGCGTGCAGTTGCTCTGTTGGGGCAGTTCAACCTTCCGTTGCTTAAGCCAGAAATCCGTTTCCATGCTTTGCCATTGTAATCATTTTCTAAATTCTAATTTTGATCATGCCCAGGCACTGCGCAGGAGCACAATGCAACTGAGCAACAAGCAGCGCGTAAGTACAGCCATACCAGACAAAGAACAAAGAAATTTCCTATGCCATTACTCAGATCATCCGCCAGCGCTCAACGTTTAGCGCGCAGAATAACCGGCAATTGCGCATCCTCGCAAACAAGAACCTGCTGACAGCGTGGGAGGTGATAGCGCTGATGCACAGCATCGGCATCACGCTATCGGACTCCGAGCAGCGCCACTTGGCACAGGAGTACGAAGAGCGCGGAGGTTTCAGCGAAAACGACGTAAAGTTTCTCGTAAACCCAGACTACAAGACCAGCGTCATCCGCAGCAAGTTCCGCACCGCTCTCGAGCAGCTGTCACCCGACAGCAAACGCGTTTACATTCACGATCTGTTGGCCGCGCTCATAAAAGTGGGCGACCAGTTCAAATTGACGCTGCGACAGTGCGAATTGCTGTGCGAGTATTGCAACTGCCGGTCTAGCGATGCAGGCGTGCTTTCAGGCGACACGATGCTTTTGATTGACGAAGTTGTGAGTTGTTTCCTGTAACGCAAACGTTTTGAAGATGTGTTTGCGCGTATGAAATCTTCTTTAGTTATCGCAATAACCGCAATGTGTGCTGCGGCGCCGATTCCCGTGCGCACACGAATCAGAGAGCGCAGGAGCGATAGAAAGCTTGTGCCACCGCCTCCAATCAAACAGCCACCACAGCACCTGCGCGTTTCCTACTACTACCCGACGAAATTCGGCAAAACTGCACCCAAAGTGAGTTATAAGCAGCCGGAGTCCGCGCCGGGCTTGCCTTACTTGTTTCCGCGTATGCCAGTGTACGATCTGCCTGAAAGCGCAGAAACGTTCGCAGTGCGCGCGATGGTAGACAAGACAGACAAGAAAGACCAGAAAGACAAGAAGCGTTAAGAGACAGTGGACCGTAGAAGATTTAGCATTTTCGATTGCAGCCTTTTCCGTACTGAGGAGACACTGTTAGAGGAGAGAGTTATCATATGCGAAGCGTCAGCTGACGGCCGCTGAAGTTTCTTTCGGTAGTGTCTGTCTGCGTCGTAGTCAACAAGTTCGCCGTTATTGAGAGAACCGTTTTGAGCCGAGTGCACTAAGTTGCTCGCGATCTCTAGTGCCCGAGGCGCATTGATGACGCCGCCGCAGCGCGCAAGCCTAGCGAGTTGCGTGTTCGGCTTGCAGGATTTGATCAACACGCTCTTAAGCTCGCGCGCCGTCAGGTCAGGAAAGTGTGACAAAATTAAGCCGGCAGTGGCTGCGACGTGAGGAGCTGCGAAAGAAGTCCCCGTGAAGTATGAGTAGCCTTTAGCGCTCGTTGACAAGATCTTTTCGCCCGGCGCGAAAACCGTCACCGATTTGGCGCCGTAGTTCGAGAACTCCGCCTTGCTGCCGCCTTTCTCCGTAGCGCCAACACTAATGACGTTGTCCAGCGCATAGCCGGATGGCGTGTGCGCGTGCGATTCGTCATCCGTGTTGAGGTTCTTGTTGCCAGAAGAGGTGACGAACAAGTGGTCGCGTTTTCCAGCCCGCTGCACCGCTTCGTATTCGAGCTTGTTGACTTCTTTTGTATACCCGCCGTAGCTGTTGTTAGACACCTGAGCGCCCATCATGATGGCGTAGTTGAGCGCGCGCACTTCGTTGATAATGCTGCCTTGCGACTTGTTCATGAACTTAAGGCACATTATTTTGCAGTTTGGACATGCTGACGCAATGCCGATGCTGTTGTTGGTTGCCGCTCCGATGATTCCCGCGCTGGCCGTACCGTGAGAAGACCCAGCAGTGACGTCGACCGAAGGATTGTTGTCGTAAAAGTTCCAGCCGTAACAGTCATCTATATATCCGTTGTGATCGTCGTCGATGCCGTTGGTGCAGTCAGTCTCACCGTAGTTGCGCCAGATGCTGTTTTGTAGATCTGGGTGCGACGTGTAGCACCCACTGTCGATCAGCGCGACAATCACAGGTTTGGCGCTCTCCGTTGAGACAGCATTGGC